TTGGGTTTCGAAGAGCGAGCTAATGAGTTATGAACTTGTACTAGTAAGTAGTTGGTGTATGTGATTGTTCATGTATTGTGCAAACATTTGATGAGATTCAACTAGATCTTAAGATACTTTGGTATGCAACTAAAGGCAAAGAATACGGCCCCATATATGATAGAGATTTCGAATAGTATACTAAAGAATGGCTTCTCTAGTTATTTTGATGCTTAATACCCGAAATTAGTTGTCGGTATGTTTATAAACAATCCAGGTTTATGATGTCCTTGTCTAATTTATCGTGCATCTGGGTTTGGACTGGTTTATAGATGTTTTAACTATATTGGTTACCTGAACATTAAGATTGGAAGTTCCAACAAGTATTGTACTGCAAATTTTTGTTTTTAATCTTTTATGGAAGCTAGATTTGCTTGATGCTCAAATGTCCTTCTTTCTTGATTGTTCACTCAAACATCAAGCTTCTTCTCCCTTTCTTATTTACATGCAGATGTACTTTATGTCCAGATACATAAATTGTCGTTCACTTTGTGCTAGTCCATCCTAACATGTCTTTATCATTCTCAGCTTATTGCTAACAATGGTAGTCAAGCTCTGACTCTAAAATGCTACCCAATGCTGCTCTTTACTTTGTCAATGTTGAAAAATAAACTGGATGCAAATATTTTAGTTATCAAATTCCCACAAGACCAGTTAACATAGTTTTCTTCCTTAACTTTGTTGTTCATGGTTAGTGCTACTTGTTTACATTTTGGGTTGTGAATTTTTTTGTGCTGGCTACATCATCACAAATCTTGGTTGGCCTTTTGCATTGGAATACTAGGAAAATGAAACGAAATTTTTATTAGAAGTTTATTACCGGGGGGAGGGGCCCACATTCCAAGTCGTATGTTCAATTCTAGTGTTATATTTATTTGAACAGGCTTATACTACGAATAAGCTTATATGGCTATATTTGTTAAACCTAGCTTATTGATCTTAAGTGAATTTCGAGCTTATTATAGCTGCTTATGGCTGAAAAGCTAACTTATATGGTAAAAGTGTTTGGTAAAAGATTATAAGCTAGCTGAAATAAAATTTTCAATGGGCTTATTTGAAGAGCTGCCCAATCAAACTTATGAGATAAACTTAAAAGCTCGTCCTACCGAGCCAATCTTATTTGAATAAACGAAACTTATAATCTAATAAAATAAGTTATAAGCTAGCTTATATGCTTACCAAACACAGCCTATATCTCTCCATGCATTAACAAAAAGATGGTTTTAGGTTGGATTCCAATGTTTGTTGTATTCATCAAGTATTAACAGAGTGTAAATATTAGGCCCTTGATATGATTCGTGTTTTTTACCCTTTTAGGTCCTTTTGGCCGTGGTCAGATGCAGAAACCATTTGAAGAAGCCACATTTAGTTTGAAGGTTGGTGAAATCAGTGACATTGTCGACACTGATAGCGGTGTTCACATTATTATGAGAACAGGTTGATTTTTGGCAGTCTAATATACCTAGTGTTTGAAGTTTGAACTACAAGAAAAAGCCAAAACGAAGACCTTATGCTTGTTTATGATGCGCTTTAACTTCTCTTTTCCATTTTCACCCTTCTCCCCACTATAGCTTTCATAATTATATTAACCTTCATTTGCTGTGGGAAATTGTATGACATTCTCTACTTGGCCTCAGTTGTGAATAAGTTCACTCTTTTCCAAAGAGTGAAACCAAACAGATGAATTTGAGATTCATTATAACTCGGTTCTTAATATGGATTTGTTGTACTTGGCTATTTTTACAGCTTCTTGTTGAAAATGTTTGCCCATATTTTTATACCCTTGTGAGTAGAAGTGTGAGATGGATGGCATTGTATCACCAAATATCCGAAGGTGGGTACGTTAGCTCACATATGAATGATATGATGCTTGGATTAGATTCAAAATTTTAAAAGACGTGGGATAATTAGTTAGTATTGATCATTCTTAAAATTAAAAAAAAAAAAAAAGTTAGTGCCCACATGGGGCAATTGTATGTGATCTAAGATAATCAACCTCGTGTGATGATCCGTTGAAATAGGACACGTGTAAATTTTACGTATAGAATTCATTATTTTGTATAATATTTGATTGTGCTTAGAATTAGAAATGGAGGCATGCCCATTTTTTCACTTTTTGTGTTTTTAGTTTCCTTTGTTCTGCAATCTTTGTTCTTGGTAAATTTTTAGGTTATGCTCAAAGGTACAATAGTTTTTCATTGTTTGATCAACACACACTCATGTGGTATGTGCGAGTGACGAAAGAGCAACACAACAATTTTGGTTTGTGTTTATATGTCTTTGTCCTTGTACTACTTTTGTTGCTTACTTTACATTAACTTTGAATTTAAGTACAGAAAGAGCAACACAACAATTCTGGTTTGTGTTTATTTGTGTCTTTTTTTTTTTTTTTTTTT